CTCCAGCCCTGGGCTCCTCTTGGTTCCTGCTCTGGCCTCTCTCCAGCAGCTCCATGTCCTTGCTGGGCTGTTCCCCAGGGCTGGAGCAGCTCTGCAGGGGGGTCTCCCCTGAGGGGCAGAGGGGCCCAATCCCCCCCTGCCCTGCTGCCCACGCTGGGGGATCAGCCCAGCCCATGGAAGGATTTCTGTCCCTGGAATACCCCACTGAGCTCCTGACAGATTCCTTTGCCTGGGGCTGGTTGTTGACTTTTTCCCTCCCCCTGTAATATCCCACCCCTTTCTTTTGGTGCAAACCCACCCATTATTTCTCCTTATTTTGGGCCCTCCTTCTGGCTCAGTCCCTGCCAGCTCAAAGCAAACCAGAAATAAAGGTACTTTGTGCTTGACCAGCTCCATGTGCTCTCACTGCAGTGCAGAGCAAAATTTCCACTGCAGCAGCACCTGGGATTGATGGAGCAGCAGGAGGGGGAGGGAAGGTCACACCCTGGGAGAAAGGGACTGTCTGCACCCCAGGCCAGGCTGAATCATCTGCACACTAAGAACAGTCACCCAGGTGGGACTCCCTCAGGGGGACAGGGAGGAACCACAACCACCGACACACAGGAGGAACAGCACTGAAAAGCCACATTCCTGGTGTGGGGATGCTCCAAAAAGAGCATCTTTGACACGAATCACAGTCAGACAGAAACCACTGAGAGTTTTCAGAAATAAGGAGAAAAAACCCAACCAAAAGGTTTTAAACCCAGCTAATTGAATGTCTCTTCTGAGGGGGTTTGAAGCTACAGGAACTCCCAAAGCAGCCTGTGAGGAAAGTCAGGTTCCTGCTCATCCAACCCCACTCAGTTCTCCAGGAACACTCAGGAAAAGGCACTTTGAAGGGTAATTTAAACTTCATCATTCATAACAAAACTGGTTTCTTACTCATTCATATAAGATACCCAGTCACATCTGGTTTTGCAGCACAGGACTGGAATGTTGAACAAATTCCTCTGAACCTTTTTAAAATTCATTTCTCCCAATTTCCTTATATTTTTACACCCACCATCCCCAAGTCCCTACGACCAACAATCCCAGAATATTTATTTCCAAAATACAACTAGAGATTAAATGTACACCTGAACAGTGAATTATAGTGTGGGGGGGTTAGTTTTTATTTATTCAACTGTACTTTAGTCACAGCTGAGAACTCTTCGTGTGTCTCAGAGAAGACTCATTCCAACTCCAACAATCAATAAGCAACAAAACTGAGGAGAAACTGCCATTAGGAATTTGTTTTAAATAATATCTGTCCCCACACAGAAGCTTGGCTGAGTCACAGACAGGATTAAAATCAGTCTAAGCTCACAGTGAAGACATTTAAAGCACATTGAAAGATAAGAAGTAGGGAAAGCCAAAATCCAAGAAAAATACAAAATCCTGTAACTACAAAGTGGGAGGATTAAAAAACAGAGTCCACAAGCCACTGACTCTCCAATCCATGAGGCCAGATCCAGGTCACTGACACATCCCAGGAGGGGGGAGAGCAGAGCCCTCCTCAGCCTGGCAAACCCTCCTCCTTCCCAACAAACCCTCGTCCTTCTCCCTCATTCCCACCCAGACAGGTCTCAGGGTTCATGCCCAGTGTAAAAGTGCTTTACACTGTTGTCAAGGTGATTTACAAGCTCTACATCCATTAAAGTCCTCCTGCCACAAGGAATTCTGCAGCCCAGCCTGGTCCCAGCCCACGGATCTGGGTTCAGCTCTTTGCTCAGTCCCAGCCTGGGTGGTACCTCCTGTCCAGATGGAAATCAGGACACGGAATTTGTTTAAGATGGGTCAAAATTTGGGTTTCAAATGGGTCCAAACTCAGGTTCCAGTGGTGAAGTGCTCCATTTGCCCGTGCCAGTCCTTGGTTATTCCAAGGAATGGTGATTTTGTGGCACCCAGGACACTCCAGGCTGGAGAGCTGCTCAACTCCAGAGCTGCACTGGTACCACCAGGCAGAGCCACTTTAACATGTGAGCTTGTAAATGGTTGTTTTCCCAGGAAAGTCACCCCCTGGGCCTGGGAGAACCACAGGACACAACAAACACGGAAGGACTGAGGGTCAAGGAGCACAAATGCAGCATCAAAAGTAAGCTCTGGGTTGGTGCAGTTTAATTACTTTTGATAAAGTGAAGGAGTTTGTTAATTGGACCCTTGGGGAGTTCAAGAACTACACGGGGACAAACTGTGTGTCCATGGAAATGGAGCAATTCCAGAGCCTTCCTGGAGTCAGGCAGCACTTACCCATTCCCTTTTAACCTCCAGAGGGAAGCAAAGATTCAAAGCAAGGCACAATTATAACACAGTTCACAATTTGACTTAGATCAGTTTGCCTAAAAGAGCAGCCCAGTTAAGCAATTACTGCAGAGCAGGAGAGAAATCCCCCAAGAATCAGGTTTAACTACTGTCAAAAGTAAGTTAAATAAAGAGAACAGAGAGTAGTTACCCCACTGTGGGAGAGTAAACTAAAATCAAATCCAAAAGGAACATATAAAAAGATCTGCATGACCTCAAAGTCTCTCTTTAAAATGTGTCAAGTGCTCCTTAAAATCACCTATTTTTGGTAAAAATATTATTTTCCCAGCAAATCTCTATTTAAAAATGCGTGCAGTGCTCCTTAGATTCTCACAGTTCTGGGAAAAATGGTATTTCCCTGCAAATCTCTCTTCAAAATGCATGAAGTGCTCCTTAAAATCACATATTCCTGGGAAAAGTGACATTTTCCCTGTAAATCTCTAATTTTAGAGAGACAAAAGCAAATATTGCTTTAGGCTTCGACACAACAGACTGGGAAAAAAATTGGAGATTGTTCTGTATCAACATCCCTGCCACCAAATTTTTAGGTTTGAAGTTTCCTTTCTTTACACAACTTAAAGTCACACATGGGCAAAACTGGTTTGCTGCAGGAACATCCCAATCCCTCCTTACCATGACGATGTCTCCTGGCTGGATGGTGATCTCGTCGTGGCTTCTGGACTCAAAAGGATACAGAGCTCTATAATACACTATTTTTACATCCTCCTGAGCAGAAATGGTCAGAGGAGCTTTTTCTGAGCAAAGGAAAAAAAAACACACACAAGGAAAAAAAAATAATAATCAAACCCCCTTATTTTTAAACACTTGTAAAATGAGGGGAAAGTGGTGAGAAAAAGGAGCAGAACTGGGAGTGTCTGCAGGAAGTATCTCGTGCCCTATATGTGAAAATGTATGATTTAAAGACAATTTTCTGGCTATTTTCTCCTCTAAACATCAGGGGAAATCGTAGAAACACAGAATGGTTTGGGTTGGGAAGGATTTTAAAGCCCATCCAGTGCCGCCCCTGCCATGGACAGGGACACCTTCCACCAGGTCAGTGTCCAACCTGGCCTTGGGCACTCCAGGGATGGGGAATCCACAACCCCTCTGGGCAGGATTTAGTCATAAAAGTGCCCTCTGCTCCCTGCACAAATGGAAACAAAAAGGGACTGTGTGCAGAGCAGAAAGAGGGGGATTAAATCTTAGATTTCGGGTCATTTTATCAGTGAACAACATTCCTGGGGAAGGCAGGAGAGGGACCAGGGGAACCCCGGGACACGGTGGTGCTGCTCTAACAACCCCCAAGGTACATTTTGCACAGCAAAATAAGGAAACACAGAAATAATTTCTGACATCTTGCATCAGGATCTTCCAGCCCCTTCCAGCTGAGAACCTCTCCTCACTTGGCACTGGGAATCTCATCCTTTACACTTCCAGCTTTACACTCTGCTGAAACCCAGACTTTGAGGGACAATAGTGATGCCTAAAAGGACAATTTTTGGAGTCTAGAGCTCAATCTGCCCATTATTTACTTCACTAAGACTAGCAATCCAGTCTTGAAACATAACATCCTCCTGTATTAAATGGGAAGCCAGAAAAGAGCTGTTCCAGAGGCTCTCCACCAGCATTCCTGGTGTTTGACCCTACCTGCATTGGACCAGGGAGCCTGGCCTGGCTTGGCTGGCTCCTGGTGGGGCTGGAAAAGTTTACTCAGCTTCTCTTGCATTTCCTGCTTCCCCTTCTCCTCACTTTCCTTCTTCTTAGGCATTTCTTCCCTTTTTTGCTTTTCATCTTCCTGAATTTTTTTTTGCCACTGAGGTTCCTCCTCTGGCTGCCCCCGATCCGGCCGCTGTTTGTCCCGTTCCTGGATTCGCCTGTTGGAAAACCAGGGGGGGGCTTTTTAAGCCACTCAAACCCAAGACCATCCCAGTCAGTTGTCCTTTGGGGTGATCTATGGCACAAAAGGTCCTCTGCAGGGCTTTTCCATTCCCTGGAAGAGCTAATTTGATTTTGATGAGTCACCAACCCCTCCCCAGCATCTCCTTACACAATTATTCGTGGGATCACAGAATCACGGAATGGTTTGGGTTGGAAGGGACCTTAAATATCATCTCACTCCAACCCAAGGCCACAAACATCCCTAAGTAGGACTCAGAATAGTCCAATGAGAAGGGAAAAGCAAGAATCAGAACACGTGACACTCCTCATCTTGCTGTTGAGGGGCAAGGGGGAAACACATTTGGAAGCTTCACACAACACCCCTGCAGAACCATCCAGAGTATTCCACACTCCCAGCTGCCAGAGCTAACAAGTCCTTCCAACAGAGGACAAGTCAACAGAAGGAAAGGGTAAATGTGCTCTGCTAGAAACAATTTGCCCCAGTAAAGGTAACTCTGAAGATATAAAAGATGCCCAGTGTGCTTTGGTTTGTTCCATGACCTTTTTCCACCTCTGGGCTTTCTTCAGACTTATGAAATTAGGGACAAATGCATGAGAAGAAGTTGCTTCTCACAGGAGCTCCTCACAGAATCCCAGATCCCTGAGGCTGGAAAAGCCCTCCCAGCCCATGGATCCCCCCTGTGCCCCATCCCCACCTTGTCCCCCAGCCCAGAGCACTGAGTGCCACGGCCAGGCCTTCCTGGGACACCTCCAGGGCTGGGCACTCCAACCTCCCTGGGCAGCCCCTGCCAAGGCCTCACCACCCTTTCCAGCAGGAAATTCCTCCTCCTGGCCAACCCACCCACCTTCCCAGCATTAGGTTGGTACCAGAGGGCACAAATCTCATCTCAATCCCTGAAGTTTTGAGTTCACAGGAATATTTTCTGAGAGGTGTCAAGGTTTAAATTAAGGGCTCAAATTAAAGCCTTTTGTTACCTCTGAGCTTCTTTTTGCTTTTCCAGCTCCACTGTCTTCCTTTCTTGTTCCTTCTGTTTCAACCTCTCAGCTTCCAAGCTCTTCTGCTTCTGGAGCTGCTGTTTGTTATGGATTTCTCTCAGCTCCTGGAGAAAAAGAAGGAAAACGTGAAAATATACACTGTGGGACCCAGAAGTAACAGCCCCAAATATTCCCTTGGGAAGGAGCAACACTTGGAAATGTTTGGGGATCTCTGTCCAAACTTATCTGCAGTGGCAGATATTTAAGGTCTATACACCACTTACTGTTTTCCTGGTTTTATCCATCTAACTGAGATATTAAAAGGTTAAGAAACAAGAAGGTCTTTAAATGGTACTCTAAAAAGCTTAATCTGAAAAGTCACTTCTGTTTTATTTTCTTTGCTGGTTTGTTGAATTCACTTAATAATTTCCATATAAAAATCTGCCTTCTGAGCTCTCACAACAGCAACACAGTCAATGGGTTTTATTTTCCAGTGAATGGTGATTTAAATCAGTTTTATTTTCCAGTGAATGGTGAGTTATTAAAGAACCTTCAGGATTGGTTTATACTCAGGAGATTGAGTTCCCTAAGGAATGCCTTTGGGATGAGTTGTGGTACAGAGAGTATTCACTCATATATAAGTCACTTCTTCTTTAATTAACTGGGAGGACATCCCTGAAAAATTTAGAATATAAATAACAATAAAACCATAATATTTTTCTCAAGATTTCTTTTCTCCATTAACACAAATACAAATTTTATCTGGAATAGCCTGGAATTTTGCATTTAAACTCCTCAGCATTCCAAGGAGCAAAAGGATAACTTTACCTGTGACAACTAAGGGTTTTCCCTGAAAATAGTTCACCTTGAAAAACTGATATGTTCTAATGAAAATATAGTACAGGCAGGAATCGAAACAGTTAATCTTGAAAGTATTTGGACAGTTTTTCAGAAATTCCCAATCTACAAACCAGCCACAGGAAGGTTTCCTGTGAAAATCCTCACACACTGACCAAAATGTCAAAAATTGCATAAGAGGAAAAAAAATAAAATCAAATATCAAATGATTCAAACCCACTTGATTAAGGGATGAAAGTTTAAAAAAAAAAGTGAAGTTGATCTACAGTACAAACTAAACTAAATATCAAGTGATTCAAACCCATTTGAGAGAGGTTTGAAAGTTTAAACAGTGAAGTTGATCCTCATGTCCCACTCAGACTCATTTCACTAATGATCCTCAATTTTAAATTCAAGGAAAAGGAAATCAACACCATTAAGAAGATAATCAGTTCCCATCCAGGTCTGAACTAAAACTCTGCTAAGGACATCACTGCAATCCAGGGATAATGTGGATTTGGGCCATTCCCTATTTTATGCTCATCCAGAGCACGAGGACCTCGGGGGATCTCAGTCCTGCTCTCCTGGTCACCCCAGATCTTATTGCACCAAAGACCTCGTGCAGGTGCAAATCTACCCCCCAGCACATGGGCTGTGGTGCCCAACATCCTCCAGCTGGCAGGATCCCACTGCCTTGGGCTGGCAGGGATGGTGAGGATCACCCAGTGCCACCCCTGCCATGGGCAGGGACACCTTCCACCAGCCCAGGCTGCTCCAGGCCCTGTCCAACCTGGCCCTGGGCACTCCCAGGGATCCAGGGGCAGGCACATAAGTTATCTCACCATTAAATGTAAGATATCCCACTTCCACTGCCCAGTAGAAAACTGGGAATGCTGCAGCTGAGCCGTGCCTGGAGCAGGGAGCTTCCTGTAGGACTACATGGAATGTGATCATTAAGTGCTGCTGCCAACCCTGGCACAGACAATGACACTCCTTGCTTTGCTTGTGCTGGCATTCCATGGCTCTGCTCAGCTAAGGCAGGATCTCCAGGGCCATTTGAGTAATCACTGAAGTTTTCCATAGACATTTGATCCCATTATTCCCTCCCAGCCCAGCCAGGGTGTTGGTTCAGGATTCCTGCTTTCCAGTGACACACCTGGATGGTGAGGAAATCATAGTCCTAGGGCTGGATGGAGCATTTCTGGAGATTAAAAAATCCAATTTATATCCCTCTTTGGGTCAGCCAGGAGGAAATAAGGATTTGGTGGGTATCTCCCACAACAGAGGGGCTCCATTGCTTTGCCCAGTACCAGTGGGAGGACAGGGAGGAAGAACCAGCATCTCCCACAGTTCCACAGGAAACCAGCTGAAGAAAATTCTAGGAACACTTCAACAGCCAAGCAATGGAGCTTTTCCAGCTGGATGTTCACAGAGCCCTACACTCATCCTGGACAGACACAACTTCCAGCTGTACAGGTACAACTGGAACTCCAGAGACACAGCAAGGCTTTGCTGGTTCCTGGGGGGGGCAGGACAAGGAATGTCTTACCTTAAAAACAGAGAGAAACTGTTCTTATTACCTTGGCACTGAACTCACAAACAGACCAACAGGGAGGGTTTGGAGGTGTCACAACAGCCACATTCAGGATATTGGATATGAATTAAAGCAGAGCAATATTCACTATATACAGACAAGGCATTGCTACAAAAACCTCAGTGCAACAAATGTAGTTGTTTGAGCCAAGATTTTGCCTTTTTGACAGAAAGGCAACAGAACTTGGGATACTTCAGGGATTACAATACAAGGATTCCACCAGATCTTCTCCCCTTGAGCCAAGCAGAGCATTTGATCCCAGAGGAGAGGGCCCTGCAGTTGTGTGTTCACTGAAGTTTTTCCACACCACCCCTTTCCTGCCCTTTTCCCAGGACCCAAAGCATCTGCTTTGGCCTTGGCAGACACAATTCCTCCCTTTTCCCCATCCTACAGCTCTGGGGGATTGCAGACAGGGAAGATGCTGCCACCTCTCTCCTACTGGAATCACCAGTGACAGAGCTGTGCAGGAACACTTCACATCCAGGTGTTTGAACATCGTGACCAAAACAGGCAACAGACTTAAAGTCTTGATGTTCCAGATAAGCAAAAGTACTGAGAGTGTTCTTCCCTCTGCCCATTTATACTGTTTGGGTGATTTATGATCAGATATTGATCATAATTTTAGCATTAATATCCTTTGGTCATATTGATCTGCAAAACACTTTGGAAGGACTCAGTTAAAAAAACAACACCCAAAAAGCACAACACACTGAGATGTGTCCAAAACCCACATATAAAGGAAAATAAACTGAGGTTTAAACCTCGAGCATTAATTAAGCAAGGTTTAAACCAGTCTATTTTCTTTTGGTATAAATTGAGCCTATTTTGTGTTGTGTCTGACTCTGCAGAACTTCTCCCTTTCCTTACTCCCTCAGATTGTGAATCAGCTTTTAATTTTTTCCTACAGTTATTAATAACTTTAATATTAAACAAGTTATTTGTTGCTTAACTTCAAACCCACCTTCCATTCTAAAGCTTCTGATTTAATCCCAAGACAACTCCAGAACCATCAATGTCTCTATTGCAGTGATTTTCCTCCTGAACACTTACAGCACAATTTCTGACACCTTGCAGGAAATTGGGGATTTTTTTGCTCAGCTTTCAGGAGAACCCATCAGGGGAACTGGCAGATCAACTACCTTAACATTGGAATGTTTAATGAAAAAATGAATGTTATTAGAGGTTTGTAACTACAGACTGATTTGTACCTTCTCTCTGAAGAACAGGGACAGTTCTTGTGCAGAAACACCCAAAACCCACACAGGTCTCACAACAGACTGAGCAACAAAGCAGGAAACCACAACCCACAGACATCCACACTCAGGGACAGCAGGGGAGGATGAACAGCAGGTAAAATTCTGGTGGCAGGAGGAAATCAAGTCTTTTTTATTCAGGATTTCAGTTTGAACTCCTGATTCCAGAAGGTTTGACCTACTTGCACTCCTGGGATGCCAAAGCACAGGAAGGGGTAATTTCAGATTTGCAATCAGAACCAGAGCTCAAATTTACCCCTGAAGAGAGTCTGCAGACTGAGGTGATTCAAACCCTGAGTTGGAAAGCTAAGTAGCGTTTTGTTAAAAATAAAACAAAATAAAAGTCAACTCAAATCCCCAAAAGACAGACTGGAGAATGTCCCCAAACCCGACCATCTAAATCAACCACTTCAGTTATTTTTTGCCACACTCAAGTTAGAAAATGGTTCACTGAACAGTGAGAAGGAAGGGTCATTAATGAGTCCTGGGTTACCTTCAGCTGATTGTTGAAAATATCAATTTCCTGCAGTTTGGATCGGGTTTCCTTCTCCACCTCATCCAGCTGGTCCCGGAGCTGCTGCCGTGCCAGCTCCTTGGCTTCCAGGGCTCTTTTGATGGTAAGAAGAGAATCTCCTGGTTTTAAACACATTGGCAAATAATTATTTCCTTATATGGAAATAATGGGTCACAGAAAGCCCCGTTTTTCAATATGGAGCTTGCGACACACAGAAAGCGATTCCAGGGGACACTGGGAGGAGGGAATGGGTCCCACCCAAAGTGAGACACACCCAAAAATCTACTCACTGTGCAAACTGTTCTGCTGGACTTGCTTGAGCTGATCATTGAGCAGCTGCTTTTCTGGGATCAACCTCCCCAGCATCTGCTGAGACTCCTGGATCCAGGACAGGGAACACAAGCACAGAGAGAGGCATGGGGTGAGTGAGGGGTCACTTCAGCCACAACAAACAACTTCGATCGGGAACAGAAAGACAAATATTTACAGTTCATCTGAAGGAGAGAAAACAAAGACTTTCCCTCAAAAGGAATATATTCTGGGCAAAAGCCATGAAACATGAGCTCTGTGAGGTGAGAATCCTCGAGTCCTCAGTCTCTGGACTTGGTGCTTGTGGAAGGGGATTATGATCCTTCTCACACCCAACAGACCGTTGTAAGATTGTGAACTGATATGTTACAGGGGTCCCTGCAGATGAGAAACTCCTCCTTTGGTGGATCATACCTATATATACATTTATATTTATGTTTCATAAAGAATCCTTGCTCTTTCTGGAGGATGAAGAGCCGCTTCACACACCTTTCAGAAGCCTTGACCCCCAACTTCAAGTTGTCAAACACGTCACAGCAGCAGGAGGGGAAAGAGCTTCTTTTATCAAAGATCATGAGTATGGACACCCCAACTTCCAGACAAACAGAGCAATTCCTTGGAGCAGCTGTCTGGAATTGCAGGCTTTTGAGGCCTCAGCCAGCTGACAGGTTCAATCTGTCAGGAGGGATTGCAGGTGACATCACCCCACCCTAAGAACAAATGTCACCTGAGTGCTCAATCCCACAGTGAGTCCCACAGAGGTTGTGGAGTCCCCATCCCTGGAAGTGCCCAAGGCCAGGTTGGAGGGGGCTTGGAGCACCCTGGGCTGGTGGAAGGTGTCCCTGCCCATGGCAGGGGTGGCACTGGATGGGCTTCAAGGTCCCTCCCAACCCAAATCATGAGTTCCACGGAAAGTTGTGGTTTTTGTTCCAAGATCATGGGATTGGCTGCACTGACACAGCTCCAGATTGTCCCACTTTCCTCCTGCCAGGCCTTGACTGGGCTCTGCAGTGCTCAGCTCACATCTGATGATTATGCAACGATTGCAGCCTCCTGTAATCTCCTTATGTTCCAGCAAATATCCCGAGGAGGCACAGCAGAGTCAAGGACTTTATGAATCCCCAAAGTAGCAAAATTCAGCTGGAGCAGAGCTGACTGTCCAGCTGCTCTGCCCAGGGCACCTCTGAGGCCCCTTCCAGCCCAAAGCACCCCGTGGGCCTGGGAGTCTGAGAACCCTGCAGGTCGACCAAACAGCAGGATGGGTGTCAAAACAAAACAGGATCTACAGAAAGAGTTCTTCAAGCACAGAAAGTGCCCCAGGACAGCATTTCAGGGTGGAATGAGATCACCACCTCGGGTGTTTTGCTTTCAAAGGCCAGAACACTTCCCAACTCCAGATTACTCAATCCACTGAATAGTTTGGAGAGTGTGTAAGGACAGAGAACGCCAAGGGATCATGAAGGTCAAATTCTGTTTCCTGAAATCACAGACAACCACTGGAATAAGAACCTATCCAAGAACATCCACCAGATGGTTTTCCACATCCTTTCCTTGTACTGGAGAAACAGATGAAAGACATTAATGGCACCACTAACTCTGAAGTTTCATGCAACAAGAAACGTCCAAGAGTTGAGTAACGTCCCACATGGCAGTGAAATCAAATCCCAGTCCCTGCCCCTTGAACAAGGGAAAGTTTTCTTCAAATTCCTTGGGAGCCAAAGGATTCATCAAGGAGAAAAACAGTCCCTGCAGGTAATAAGCAAGTCACAGATCAGGGGTTTGGAAGGGAGGGTCCTTCTGAACATCCCTGGAAATGCCACTCGACCAGACAGATCCAGGTAACCAGCACAAACTCCCATCAGCCAGGATTAAGTGGTGCACAACTTCTGCCACAAGGTTAATGAAGCTCCCTCTTGAAACTAATTAATAGGTTGAAGAATAATTACTCCTTTGAATTGACTCATCTTTCCATAGGGAGTTTCAAGTGTATTAAACTAAACTATTTCCAAGGGAAGGTACATCACCCTTCAGAGATAATGCCAGTGCTGACTTTTTAACCTCTTTGAGAGTTCAGAGGATTAAAATCTCCTTTTTTAAACCCCACTGATTTAGTCTGTCCTCTACAGATGAGACAGAAAAAATGACAGAATATTTGAAAAAATAATGGGGTTTTTTTTCAGAAAAAATCTTGTAGGTTCTCCCCAGATAAAATCTGGCTGTTTCTCCTAAGCAGTGACACAGTTTTTGGGATAAAAACACATCATGTGACACTGCCTGAAATATCAGTGGTGGAGATCAATTAGCACCTGAGGGAAGGTATTACCACAGAGCCACAGCTATTGCTACAAAATCACTCCAAACCCAAAAATCCAACAGGACACCTGCCAGGGAAGGCAAGAGTGGAGCTGGACTGGAGCAGTAGGATTAGGGTTTAAATCAGGTTTTACACCTGAGCCCTCCTAACCTGAGTGTGAGATTCTCTTTGCAGAGGCAGAAACACACTGAGACACCCCCAGGACAAGCCAAGAATTGATTTCAAGCAGTATGAAATATGTAATGAAGAGAAAAGTCCCTAAATTAAATCCTACACCCCCCTGGGAACCTTTACAAACCTCAAAGCACATTCTCTCCCTAAAATCAGGCACCTCCTCAGTTCCACTTCCATTCCACAGAGAACTTCAGATGGAGCAGCAGGAAAGGACAATGCCAGGGCTAGGCCAGGAACTAACTGGCTTCACTGGGAACTGCAGCTTTGGAAGTTCATTATTTTACAATTAAAAATGGATCATCCACAAGCCATTTCACTGAAGTCAAGTCTTTCTCCCAGCACACAAACTGCAACCACAGCCAGCAAAATCCACGCCATGAAACCCCCTTCTCCTCGCCCTCCCAAACATCTGGGGCCAAACAATTCCTCTGCTGCTCCCCACAGCAGGATTCCAGGAGGATGAAGTGATAAGCACAGACACAGCTTCTAGTGTAGGCACAATTCCTGGATGGGTCTGAAGAACACTAATTTCCAGGAATGACAAATTATCTCCAAGGATTCTTTCGGGGCAAGGAACAGCACACCCCATGCTGGGGCAGCTCTGCTCAGGATATCAATGCCAAAATTCAAGGCTAAGAATAAAATCAGAGAAGGTTTTCTCACCTGTAGCTGCTGCTGCAAATGGGTGATTTCTGCAATTCTGAGCTCTCTGGATTTGTTTGTACTTTCAATTTCTTGTCTTTGGGTCGACAGCCGACACCTGATATCCTGAAGTTTTCCCTCCAGCTGGTTCCTTTTGTCATTCTTGAAAAGGAAGGAAAAAGAGCTCTGGTTTTATTTTTACCAGAACGTTTTGTCAGGCGAGTCAGGATCTAAAAAGTACTTTTATTTCACATTTACACCCGAAATTCCAGCAAATAAACCCGGCCATGGCACAGGCACTGTCACACCGTCGCTGCCACACTGTGCCTGTGTGTTTGACCCGGGATCCATCACTTACCAGAGCTTCCAGCTCGAATTCCAGGGTTTTCTTCTTTGCCTTCAGGACAACAATGTCCTCCTGCTCCTTGTTCCTCTGGTTGAGCAGCTCCTGCCGACGGTTCCGCTCCCACTCCAGCTGCCTCTGCCTCTCCAGCTCCCGCTTGGCAGCCTGGGGCATTCCAGGAGAAGGGGAAAAATAAAGCAGAAAGGGAAATTGATATGATTTATATAATTATATACGATAAAACATATGATATCTAACTTGAAAATAAATTTAAATAAATAAATATAATTGCTAAACACAGATAATTGCTATTATAATTCATAATTGCCGTTATAATTAATATTCTAATGAGCAATTAAACCATTAATAAAAACACACTCCTAGGTTGCTCTGTGCCTCTAAGCACACAAATTGCTCAGTGCTTTAAGTGCTCACTGAGGTGGGGCTCCCCTGCACAGCAGAGATGACTAAAGAGAGAATCCCTTCATTTTCACGTTTCCCAAGGTCCAGTTTTCTGATTTACCAACTTGTTTCATATTAAGACTCTGAAAACACTCCAGAAAAGTATCAAATCCCTTTCCAACCTCCACCACTGGACACCCAGCAGCTTTGCAAAGAACAGCCAAGTGCTCTGCACTGGACTCATCATTGTTTGGCAGTGGGAGAAAATGAGAGCTTTTTAAGTTCCCCAGGGTGTGTTTCCTTTGACAAATTAAAGGCCTGGCCCAAATCACAGGCCAGGTTGGATGGAGCAGCCTGGGCTAGTGGAAGGTGTCCCTGCCCACAGCAGGGGTAGGGACTGGATGATATTAAGGTCCCTTCCAACCCAAACCACTCTGGGAGTCTATAAAATCACCTCATCACTGGAAAATCATGAATGCCATAGGTTTTTCTTCATCCACTCAAGCATCTCTTTATGTCAAATAATAATAATCATTATTATTTTTAAAGAAGTCAGAGGTCAGGAGCACGCTGTCCTACACTGAAATGTCTCACCCGTTCACTCCACAGGAAAAATGAAGGGATTGCTGACTCTTCCTTACCCCCAAGCCCCCAGAAATGTGGGTTCACGCTCCCAGTGTTGCTCACTCCCCGTGCCAGCCCGGTCCCAAGTGCCCATCTCCCACCTGGTCCCTCCCCAGCCCCCGCCCCAAGCTCTGCTCCACCGTTACCTCTCTCCTCTCTATCTCCTTCCTCCTCTCCTCCTCCCTCTGCCGCTCCAGCTCCCGCTGCTTCTCCAGCTGCTTCTCCAGCTCCAGCTGCCTCTTGCGCTCCTGCTCCTGCCGCTCGCGCTCCTTCCTCTCCTGCTCGGCCCTCTCCAGCTGTGCCAGCCGCTCCTGCTCCTTGCGCTGCTGCTCCAGGAGCGCCTGGCGCCGCTTCTCCAGCTCCAGGTTCCCCCGCTCGAAGTTCTCCCGCTTCTTGTCCTCGAACGTGACTGGGGGGGGGTGGGACAGGGGCAGAGAGGGGAATGAAGGTGTCACAGACTCACATCAGTCTGTATGATGTGAGTCTGAGTGTTGAATCCAAGTGGAACGAGCTCCCAGCAGGAGCAGGTGCTGCTCCCCACTGTGGGTAATGGAGCTCCACGGGTCATTCTGGGGTTGGGCATTGTGCTGGTCTGAAACCCCCAAAAATCCAATTCCCCCTCCCACAACTCACCCCAGTGTGAGAGGGGTTTTCCAGACACAACACAGGACTCACTATGGGGGGAAGGGAATTACATTACAATAATTACACAAAGAAATATTACAATACATTATATACACAATCCTAACTACTTCTCCTATGATAAAGCAATATATTTACATTGGATCAAATCTCTTTTCCCTCCAATAAAAGTTCAGAAGGGAAGAAGGAAAGATCCCTTCCACTTTCAGGGCAGCAGTCTCTCTCTCCTCCCATGCAGCAGTTGGAGTTGGAGTTGTAGCTGGATCTCTTTCTATTACACACAAGGGGGTCTCCTCTCACCCCTCTCAGCCCTTTGACTCCAAGCAAAGGTCTCTGGACTGCAATAGTTGGGACAAAAGCTCCCTTCACCACATCATATCACGGGGTGTGAGACATCCCATGAAGGTCCCTTCCTCGAGGGGTCGAGTTCCCTCGAGTCAGAACATTTAGGGCAGCTTTCAGTTCAGTCTCTGCCTTAAGTGTTCTATCAGAGCTCCTGTGCTCTGTCTCAGTCTGCCAGCCTGGCCAGCATTTACACTGTCGAGTCCCTCAAACCCACATCCTCAGGAAACCAAGGTGTGCATTTCCATCCCTATTCCTCAGGCTTCCAGGTCTGGAAGTCCAGCAAGTGGAGGTAATTCAGGCAAAGCATTCTCCAGGTGATCCTGTGTGAGGACACAGGACCACTGGATAACTGCAGCAGTCCCAGAGCCAACACTTCCATCAGAGCAAGGCCAAGGATTCAGCTAGTGACATCATCAAAAGGCCATCATGCCAATGACCAGAATGAACTTACACTTGATATTCTCCCAAGATCACTCCTTACTGCCAGGAAAGAAATGGCTCAAGTTCTGGAGCAGCTGAGCCCAGGGAGTCTGGATTCCTGCACACCCACATCCTCACCACTGGCCTAAAAGTGACCTCAGTTCCAGCAAGGTTCCCTGACATCCCTCTGCAGGATCAGGGATTGTCCTCCCTCCAAATTATTCTTCCCACTTCATCTTCTGTTCCTTTTCATACCCTCTGTGTCCCACTCCCACACCCTGCAGTCCAGATTTCTCTCCCTGCATGCCCAACATGGACATTTTTGAGATGCAAGGCAAGAGACAGCACATATTTCCTCCCAAGTGTGCACACACTGCTGGACACATCAGTCCAACAGCTGCTGAACCAGCTGAATTCTTCCCAAGTTTGTCCCCTTCTCCTGTTGCCAATTCCCTTTTCTCTTCCTTTGTTCTTTTCCCAGAACTGCTGGAAGTTGTCTAAAACCCCCACTGTTACACAGACTGCAAGGAAATGGGGCTCTGTGGGAATACTGGGATCTTTTACAGAGCACCCAGGCCAGAGGATGAAGGCAGCAGAGAGTTTTCCTTGCAGTCCTGGAACAGGGATGCAAAGTGCTGCCTGTGGGAGTGCAGGAGAGGAGCAGACTGGAGCCTGTTCCCACCTCCAGTGTCACCAACACAAAGAAGCAGGAAGGAGCTGGACCCAGCAGTGTCTTGGTGATGCCTCTGACATATCCCAAACTGCTCTGCAGAGGCAGCACTTCCCAGTCAGGCTGTGGAACCCCCCAGCAGGGGCCTCATGGGAACATCCCTCTGGGAGCACAAAATATCCCTCCTGGAACACGAAATATCCCTCCTGGAACACTAAATATCCCTCTGGGACCATGAAATATCCCTCTGGGACCATGAAATATCCCTCCTGAAACATGAAATATCCCTCCTGGAACACAAAACATCCCTCTTTTCACCTGCTCACCTGGTAATTTCTTTTCCAGCTGCTGCTGTTCTTCCTCTAATGCTGGTTCTTCTGGTAACCTTTGGTCTACAGACACTGAGCTGGCAGCAGATATCCCACTGCCAGAGCGGACTCTTCTGCCAAGAAAACAGGGATTTCAGGTGCTTATGACAACCTATGCCTGCCCAAAATTATTCAGGATTAATGAGGAAACCAAATTCAATGCAATGATGTAACATTTCATGATGTTTAATATTCTTTCAGAGGGTTTTACTCAGGCATTCCCTTAGGATAACATTATTCCCCAGAGTCCCAACAGCTCTCCCTGGGGACCTGAGAAACCCAGTTCCAAGTTCTCCATGAAACTTCCCGATATGTCCAGCCCTGTCCCCAAAATCTCTCACCAGTGCCCAGTCTGGAGCTGGTTTTTAAACTACAGCACAAGCAGCAGAGACAGAGGAAGAGCTCAGTACAGTCAGGCTAAAAGCAAGATCCCAGGTGGAATACACAGAACAATGGGAATCTTCAGGAGGATACCTGAAGCATGCAGTATGTAAACATTTCTTTCCATTATAATGGACTGTCTTCCCACCCCATTTCTTCACAAAAAAAAAAGTGAAATAGAGAAAGAGAAGTGATGAGTGACCACAGTTTTCACAGACCCAGCTGCACCAAGGGGGCTGAATGTGGTACAGTGTAGATCCATAACATGTCTGGAATTCCAATACATTCCATTTGCTCCAAGGAAGTGTAAGCTTTAGATTCCTATGGTCAGACTAAGCAAGTTTTGGAAGGTGTGTCAGCATAAAGCACCCACCAAACTGTTCTGAGAGGACAAGAAGGACAGGGGTCACTGCTCAGGCTGCTGTGCTTTACACTCCCAGGACAGCTTTCCCAGATGGAATACAAGTTCAGGAGTGAGGTTCCCAAGTGTTACCTAAAGGAAGGTGGGATAAACTCTTGAGGCAGTGCAGGGGGCAGGGGCTGCCCAGCCATAGCTATATCAATGAGGTGCATGGCCAGGATAAACTCCTCAGCTGTCAGCTTCCCATCCTGGTCGATATCAGACAGATTCCTTGGGAAGGGGCAAAGTAAGGAAATGAGTAAATATTAAAAATCACCGTTCAAAAGCATCATTTTAACATATTCAGTTCCAAATTAATTCATTTTTTTCCACTTCCTTTTTCCACACTACTTTTTTCCAAAACAAACGAAAAGCAAAACCCATATGCTCCCCTTCTTCCCACATTTCTCATGGATGTCTGCCTTGAAAGCAGCCTTGTAGCCATGGCTTCTCCTTCTCCTGCCCTGAGTGCTGCCTGCACCACGGGGAGAAGGGACATGAACCAAGGGAGTTCTCCTGAACAGCTTGTGATCATCCACTGCCCAACATCACTCAGAAAAGAACCAGCTCAGGTGTTTGGCAGAACTTTTTGGTTTGGTCTCCCTCTTCCCTGGAGGCTCCCCCCTCACATTCCTGAGCTCCCACTGGCATTGAAATCCAAGCCATTAACCTTCTGGTCCTGACAAGCACAAAACCACTCTGGCATCATGCACATATTAAAAATCATGGAGTAACAACCCAAACCAGAGCTCCAACCCATGCACAGAATGCTTTTGCTCATGTTAGGGTGGTACTGGACAAAATTAACAGCCTAAACTTTGTCGAGGGACAGGACCCAGGGAAGGGCTGGAGCTGGGACAGGGCAGGCTCAGGGTGGATCTCAGGACAAGGTTCTTCCCCCACAGGGTGGTGGGCACTGACCAGGCTCCCCAGGGCAGTGGGCACGGCCCCAAGGCTGCCAGAGCTCCAGGAGGGTTTGGACAATGCTCTCAGGGACAGGGGGGAGTGTTGGGGTGTCCTGGGCAGGGCCAGGGCTTGGACTGGATGAGCCTTGGGGGTCCCTTCCAGCTCAGGATTTGTTTCTCTAGCCTGCTGCACTCCAATCAAGCAGGAAAATCTCCCATGGTAATGTGACAATCAAAGGCAAAGAAGGGATATATTATTTTGATGTCCCAAGGCACAGGATTTTGTTGATGGGATTTAAATTTGGAAGACAATTCCAGCCTCATTTGATCCATGGCTTGTGCCACTGAACTCCACAGGCTGGAGACAAGAACGAGCCAGGAGAATGAAAATCTAGGGTGCAAAGAAATAATTGCTCAGCTCCTCCAGCAGCCTGGGTCCACATTTTATCAGGAACTCCCAGGGCAGCTGAGAGGCCACACTTGCCTTTGTGTGTCTGAGTGAGTTCAGTGCCAGCACAGCCTGATAAACCCTCTGCTCTCCCAGAGAACAGCACCTGTGGCTCCACTGGCCAGGAAAGGGACCCACATTTAGGACAACAAGAGCTGTAACATCCATTCCTTATCTCCATGGATAGTTTGGATGTCCAAAAAATGACATTATGGCAGTTTGGATGTCCAAAATTGAATGAGTTCTGTGCAGAACTCCCGGAGTTCACTGGTGGCTGACCCCTGTCCCCACAACCCACTTCAAGGCTGGCAACAAGCTGAGTGTTTTTTGGAAAATCATCTGCTGGATGATTGGGCTGATTTATTTTTATCCCTTTGTTATGAAACAGAGAAGGGAAGAGTGGTTTTTAATAATATATAACAAAACCATCAGTGCTTTGCAAGGAGAGTAAGTGCAGTTCAGGTGGGTGAGCTCCAATGGTTTGCAAGCAAAGACTCATAAAGAAGAGAAAGTAATTAGGAACAATTTCCTATATGACAATAAGAATATCATAAAGCTCAGCAAACAACAAGTTGAAAGGAAAAAGAGAGGCTGAGACAAATCCTTTTAAAATCCCTTATTGTGAACATCTGTAACTCCAGTCCCTGGGAAACCAGCCCTTCCAAACTCATGGAAAAGGCAGAGAAAGCCCAAAGGAAGGGTGGCTTGGGTTAAGCTTCCTGTTGTACAACCTGTGCAAAGGTAAAGGTTTCACTGGTGCTGCCTCACACGGGGGCAGGGATGTGGGAGGCACAGGGTGCTGGAATCTGCTCTGCCTAAAAACCCCTCCCTGAACCCCAACTGCCTGAACATCACACAGAACATGCTCCTGGTACTTTTGGGAATATTAATAAAGACACAGAAATGCAGCTTTTGTTTGATAAAGTAACACATGAAAAAGAGAAACATGTGATTTATCAGGGATTGAAAATGGAGAAAACCCCCCAGAACCCAGTGCAGAGGTTTAAGAACAGTTTGTGTTTGGAGGGCAATGAACAGATTTATTTTTACCATATTGTGGCCAGCTGAGCCTGGGGCAAACTGGACTGCATGAGGATTGTTCTGGCTTGGGGACCTGAAAGTGAAACAAATATTAACAAACAAACAAGCAACACTGCAGAGATGTGATCAGCATCTGTTATTTGTTATAACAGGTGTTATTTGGCTCCC